TGGGCTGTGCACCCTGCAACTAAGATTGAACATGGCGACTAGACTTGGAGCTGAGCTGCGCCCTCCACAACTAGTTTGAAAGACAGTGACTTGACTTGGAGCTGATGGGTCCTGGAAAAAACACAGTTACCCAGTTAAAAAAAAAAATCATTAAAAAAAAAAAGACTTGCCTGGTTTCAGTGGTGAAAAGAAGTCTTGAGGACTAGTGTCACCTGGATGTTCCTCCCGCTATTCTTCCACTAGCCCTTGGCAATGGCATCTTCCACACGGCCCAGCTAGGAGATGGAGGTGCACGTGTGCTGAATACCACGTGTAACCGAGCAGTGAGTGTCGTTATAAGAATGAGGACGGCTATGGGAACAAATGACTCAAAACCTATAAATATAAACCTGGCTTCATTTGCAGTACTTCAGTGAGGACTCAGGAGGCCTCCTGGAAAATGGCTCGTGTTACTTTTATTTAGTGAGGGTCTTTTCAACCCTTTATTGGTTAATCTTCGTATTGGCTGGATAGCTGGGTCATAAAGCTAGGTGCAGTCTCTGATGGGCTATTTGGGGGCCTTGTTCTCTGCCTCTGAGCACTTGTTTGTCTAAACCTGAGTGCCCAAGGTACCCCAGGCATTTATACAGGGTAGCTGATTCCTGTGCCTTAGAAAAATTAGAGCTCATGACAGGGAGTGGGGAGAGGAGATAGTGTAGGGAAAGAGGGGGGGCAGCCACTGAAGCTTGGAAGTGGGGTGCTGGAGGACTGAGCAGTTAGCAGCAAGCTTGTTATGTGAATCTGGGGATGCAGTGTGGCTGCCAACAGCACTTTTGTCTCTGCCACATCTATCTGATGGGCTATGATGAAGCCATTTACAAATGTCTACCGAGAATTCATAATAACACAGGAAATACTTATTTCACATTGCCCTGTACATTCGGTATAGAAGTAATAGCTATCCTTGACTGGGCACAGACTCCATGCTCCTTATATATATATATATATATATATATATATATATATAATCTTGCTAAACCAACACCTAACCACCTAAAAGATGGGGAAACTGAGATTCAGAGAACCTAAGTCATTTGTCCCGTGGCTGAGTGGTAGAACCAGGGTTGAAACCCCTGCCTGTCTGACCCCACAGTCAACCCTTTCATTCTTCCCACTGTGCACAACAACCAGTGGTGGCCAACCCAAAAGGTTAGAAAGAAACAGACCCATGTGATTATATCCGAGTCTGGGCATTTTTTAAATCTGTTTTGTATTTGTCCGGAAGGGTCATCAATTTCTCTCATAACGCATACATTAAACCCCGTTTTTGTAAATTCCCTTCCCATGTGACATCCAGCAAACATAGGAGGAGGCATCAGAATGAGCTAGTGGTGGGGGTGTCTGGCTGAGGGCCATGGCGTCCCCACTCTGTGATGTGCACACGAGACGAGACTTGAGCTGTTCAGACATCGTTCCTTTCCTCTCTGGCTGTTCTCCAGCTCCAGCCAAACCAGCACCAGGAGGAAGGCTCCCGCTGTCCCACAGCCCGTTTGGGACTCTGTTCTGGGGCTGCTGTCACAAATGACCACACACTGGGTGGCTTAACACAAACCGAAATGTATTCTCCCACAGCTTTAGAGGCAAGAAGTCTGGAATCAAGGGGCTCCCTGCAGAGTCTCTAGGGAAGATTCCGTTCTTTGCCTCTTCCAGCCTCTGGGGGCTCCAGGGGTTCCTTGGCTTGTGGCTGCATCACCCCAAGCTCTGCCTCTGTCTTCACATGGCTTTGTCCTCTCTGGTCTATGTCTCCTGTTCTACCTCTTATAAGGACATTTTTCAATAGATTTAGGACTCACTTACATAATCCAGGATGACCTCATCTTAAGATCCTTAACTTAATGACATCTACAAAGACCCTTTTTCCAAATCAGTAACATTCATAGGTTCTAGGTATTAAAACATGGACAGACGAGGTCTGACAATTAAGTTCTCAAACTCATCCTAGAAAAAGTGCTCAATACCTCATGGCTGAATATCACTTTGGTCACTTTCAAAGTACTCCCCTTAGAAAGCTATGCACCAATGCCAGCGCCTAGTCTACCCTTCAAAGCAATTTTGGAACTCTTTTTCTGGAATGGCCATGAGAGCTGTAGTCCTATTACCCCTGATGTCCTGAATGGCATCAAAATGTCTTCCTTTCAATATTTCTTTTATCTTCCAGTAAAGAAAGAAGTCATTAGGGGCCAGGTCAGGTGAGTAGGGAGGGTGTTCTAATACAGTTATTTGTTTCCTGGCTAAAAACTCCCTCACAGACAGTGCCGTGTGAGCTGGTGTAGTGTCATGATGCAAGAGCCATGAATTGTTGGAGAAAAGTTCAGGTCGTCTAACTTTTTCACACAGCCTTGTTAGCACTTCCAAATAGTAAACCTGGTTAACTGCTTGTCCAGTTGGTACAAATTCATAAGGAATAGTCCCGCTGATATCCAAAAAGGTTTAGCAACATCATGGCAACCAGTTTTCAAACTTAATTGCCAGACCTCATATATTTGGGGCAGTCACCATGAAGCCCACAACTGAGACCGTCCTTCCTTCTAGCCCAGGGCTCATAACAAGAGCAATAGTGGCAGATGCTGGACTCACATTGGTTCCAAGTTTCAGCATCAAATATTGAGTCACCCACCTCAAGTAAAGAAAACTCTGCTGCCAGTTGGAAAAGAGTGAAATTGTAAGCTCCTCTCTCTCCATCATCTCCCTAACCAAACCACATCTCTTGCACAACAGGTAATGGCTGCTTATACATGAAATAGGGTCCCTTTAAGTTCCCAAGGCCCCAAATCTTGAAATCTCTCTTTAAATTGTATGGTAACCATTAAGGGCTTTGTCGGGGAAGGATGACAGGGGTAATCACCCGAGAACAGATTTTTAGGTAATTTATACTTAGTCAATCCAAACCTAATTCCTGAGTGACCTATATTGTGCCTAAGGAGCCTGAAATAATCATGTATTTACCCTTTCCCCTGAAATTAGATGGTACTTCCTATGTAATTACCCAGCCACTAAGTGACAATTGCCGTGTAATTAAATGGTCAGTGGTTACCATATTATTAAATTGCATTGACATGATATTCGTTCCAGAGAACCTTGCACTGTCACCACAAAATTAAATTCCCCACCAGGAAATTACAGCCGTTCCTGGGAAGTTCTGCATTTTGCTTGGATGGCTCTCGAATTGGCAGAAACTCCCAGCACCGTGGGTCTCCAAGGAAGCCAAGACACAACCAAGCCTGTATAGACGTAACCTGGCCTCCTGGGCTTGGGTTTCTTGCCAGACTGTGGTAGCACCTCTGACGCCCAGCTCCAGTCCAGAGCGAGGACACTGGGCACCTGCCTCCTCCTCTCCAAGAACATGCTACTGAGGAGTGGTAGACATCATGCTCTTTCTCACCTGGGTGTGGTACCTACCCAGGGACACGGCATGCTGGGAGAGCTTGAAGCCCTAAGTAAAGCTAGAGTTCTATTTCGGCCTGTGAGAAACAGTCACTAAATCATCAGTAGAAGCATAAAAGTTCCATAAAGACAGCATCTCTCTCTGTCTGCCTTGTTTATTGCCTTATCGCCATACCATCCTTGGTGCATAGTAGATGCTCAATAAATATTAGTTGGATTCATTCATTCATTCTTTCATTCATTCATTGGTACACATCTACTACATACCAGCCACCATGACTAAAACTTCTTAAGGACACTGTGAGGTCCAATGGAGCCTCAGGGAGGCTGAGTCACTTGCCCAAGATCGTTATACAACTAGTCAGAGGCAGATACAGAACCAAAGGCAGGGCTTTCTGACCTTAAAAGCTGTGCTCTCCCTATAACAACACAACTTCTTGGCCACATACAGCCTCAAACCACCCTGGGATGCTAAGGAGAACTTGGGAACGCTAATGGCTTCCCAGGGTTGAATCGCTTTGGGGACTAAGCCTTATTTACACAGAGCAACCATAACAGTTGACATAAATTGTTATTCACATTTAGTAGGTGAATAAAGTGAGGCTAGAGATTCACTGACTCATCCAGAGTCACACCACTGGTAAGTTACTTAGGGTTGAACTTGGACTCAGAAGCCATTTGAATGCCTGGTCTAACTAGAGAGAGACAGGCTGCCTGCCTCAAGTTCTCATGTTTTCACCATGAAAATGTTATGTCTTTGGGTCACCACTGTTTCTGGATGTGACTACTAAAATCTCATATGCCACTAGCACTCTCTAACACCCTAGATCAAATTACCTAGCTTCCAAAGACAGATTCAAGGGGCAAAATGAAGCCAGACAGGAATGGGTAGAGCTTGAGGTTATAGAAAGGAAAAGATTCAGGCAACGAATAACAAATAGGTCTCATGTTAAAGTCAGCTCTGATCAATTGGTAATAGCTGCCTGGAGCACTATATTGTGAAACCTTCTGAGGTTGCATTAGAGCTCAGCAGGATAAAGCATCATGATCGATTAGTGATGTCTGCCAAGGACACTGCTAAGAGAGTAGCTGAGTAGGGCTAGATATTTACCAATTCTGATCTAGATTGTGGAATTCTACAAAATCAGGTCAGGCTGGGGAAATTTTCAGGACTGGGGAGAAACCAACGAAGGAGGCAAAAAATCCAACTGATAAAGCAAGTTAGAAAAAGACACTCTTTTCCTCAAAAGCAGGTGCTCCTAAAAGAAAGTGAAAGGTCTCAGGAAAAATGGAAACCTCTGGTCAGGAAGCCTTGCTTCTAGTCTCAGTTCTGCTGTTAATTGTAAGACTTTGACCCCATTCATCACTGCCCATCTCTGGCTCTCAGCTTCTTATCTGTAAAAAGAAGGTATTTGAGTAGCAGATCTCTAAACCACATCCAATTCCAGGATTCCAAAGTCTATGGTGCTTAGTACTGAACTACCGGGAAAAAACGGGGAAGGAGTGGGCAAAAGCTGAACAAACACTTCTCATATTCTCTGTGGGAGGGGCACCAAATACAAAGCGGAAATCCATACTTGCATTTTGGTGATATTGAGTTTCAGCATGAATTCAACATCCAAGGAGAAATGTCAAGTAGGCAATTGAGTTTGTCTAGCACCCAAGGGAGGTACCTGAATAGAAGAAATAAATGTGGGAGTCATCAATAAATGTATGAGAGACTGAAACTAGAGAAAAAAAAAAAAGAGGGCCAAGAGGTGTTAAAACATTTAGAATGTAAGTAAAGGGGGGAGCCAAACAAAGACTGAAAAGGCATGTCCAGTAAGGTGGGGGAGAGAACCGTGGGACTGTCACAGAAGCATCGGAAGAAAGGGTTTCAAAGAGGAAACCGCCATCTGGGTCCAGTGCTGCTGAGAAATTGAGTGACACAAGGAAGAGGAATGAACGTGGCAAGATATATCATTGATGACCTTGATCAAACCTGTTTAAGGGCGCGATGGGGACAAAGCCTGACTGGAATAGGTAGAAGAGATACTGGGATATGAGGAAGTGGGGACAACAAATATAGACAAGAGGCCTGGCCTCGGGGGTCACATGGCCCACAACTCATGGTTGGCATATGTTTTGGTGAGTTCAAAAATACAAATTCCTGTCCCTGTCATCCACCAGCATTTAACCAGTCTGCCATTTGCCACAAAGATGCCTTTCTGACAACTTGCCAGGGCCCCCTGTCAGATTGTAGCATTAAAGGTCTTTTACCTTGACCTTGCCCTGGGGGAAACTGATAGACCCAGAAGGGATTTCCTGCCCATCCTTTTGCCTCCCATGGTCCCGTCAGATGAATGTCTCATCAGGCAGGCTACTGCCAAGGCCAGGTGATGCCTTATTCAAGGAGAGGAAATTGATCATGTACAAACGACTTCAAAAGAAACCCTGCCAGGGAGGGAACAGGAGAGGCCATAAATACTGCAATGAGGGCTGCCATCCCGGCCACAAATTCTACTGACTCTCCTACAGGAATTTTATAGTCAATATCCCAGCACTACCAAACAAGCGTGGTTACCAATCGCTTTTCTGCCGCAGAAACACTAGGCCATCCATGATAACTGGTGATGTTCACGCCAACCATCCATGCATCCATTAATTTGTTCAACACACATTTTCTGAGTACCTATCTGCAGAGCGCTATGCTCCATGCTGTGGGATATGCAATGAAGTCTATGACATTTATGCAAAATTTCTAAACAAATATCACAGAGCATCTACTGTGTGCCAGTGTTCTAGGCTCTGAGGTTCAGAAGTGAACAAGACAACCCCAAATCCCAGCCCTTATAGAGCTTCTATTCTAGTAGCTCTGGGCCATGGGACCAGCAGTCTCATAAATCATAATGATAGTAACCAGTGTGATGAATGAAACCCCTGTAGGTCAGACCAAATAGTTAAACGCCTGTCGAACGGTTCAGGGGGTGAGGGCATTAGGGCCCATCCAAGGTGTGATCACCCAGGTCTGGAAGGCTTCCTGAAGAAGGTGGAACTGGGAAAGAGCCTTACAGGATGGAAGCTTTTTTTGCCCAAGGAGGACTTGTGGAGGGGACTTTCTAGGAGGGCAGGTTAAAAGGAGAAAAATACAAGCAAGATGGAGATGAACCAGGATGCCCAAGATACATGGGGAGAAAAGGCTGTAAGGACAGATTGAGGAATGATTATGGAGAACCTTGAGAGCCAGCCTAAGAGTTTGGGCTTTGTTTGTGGAGGGCCATGGAGGCATCTAAGCAAGAAGGGAAATGATGGCCACAGAATATGAGGACGGTCTGCACGTGCAGGAGACACAGGAAGGTGAAAGCAAAGGCGCTCCTATATCCTGAGCCCCAGCTCCATGCTGCACGCCTCACATACAGGACCTCATGTTTGGTTTGGTTTTCTTTAAGGTTTTTAAATAGTTTTTTTTATATGGAAACAATCACAAACTTACAGAAAAGTTGCAAGTAAGTTTTTCCTCTTGAACCATTTGAGGATAAGCGCCTAATCAGAAGCCAATCACCTCCAAAATTCTTCTGTGTTGAATTTCCTATACAAAAAGGCATTCCCGGGCCAGCCGAGTGGCGCGTTGGTTAAGAGCTTGTTTGGGACGCCAGAGGGCCCCGGTTCAGATCCCACATATGAGGGCCAGTGACACTGCCCTCCACAGCTAAGATGCTGAACAACAGCTCTACCTGGAGCTGGGCTGCCGTGAGTTGGCGACAGCGTGGGCTGCAGCTCCTGCTGCAGTGGGTTGCCATGGGCTACCGTGTGTAGCCAGCAACCAGTGTGAGCGGCCAGCAGCCGCAGTGAGCGGCCATCCAGAAGCTGGCAACTGATCTGCCTCGCCCGGGGAAAAGCGCAATGATGGTGCCAACTTGGGCCAGTGAAGCAACGTCCTCCACAACTAGACTGAAGAACAAAATGACAGCAACTTGTCTGTTCCCCTTCCCCCAATTCCCCAATGCTGTTCCCATCCCCCGATTCCCCAATAGAAATCTTAAAAAAAAAAGGCATTCCCCACATAGCCATAATATATGCGTAATTATCAAAATCAGGAAGTCACGGTTGAGTATTACCATTATTTGGTCTTCCAACCAAATTCAACTTTCATCAGTTGTCCTCATAATATCCTTCAAAGTAAAACAATCCAGTTCGTAATCTCACATTGCATTTAGCGGTCATGTCTCTTTCATCTCCTGTACTCTGGCACAGAGTTCTCAGTCTTTAGAGAACCTCATTTGACTCTCTCCAAAACCAGACCAGCACCTGATCTGGAAAGGTGAGAAGTTGGGACTCATTCTAGTGATAACAGCGTAAGACTGAGAAGAAATCAGTCCAAGGTCATGGATATAGAAAGAGAGAGAGGAAAGTGCATGGGAGGGACCACACCCAGAGAAGAGGCAACTAGTGACTGGCTTTCTGATTGGCTGAAGATTTGCAAATATCTCCAGGGCTAGGAGAAAGGAGCTTTTCTTTTATGGGATGGAGGGCATCAGGCTAGGAAGAACCAGGAGTGGGGAAGTAGAATGAACGGAATGAATGGGTGGCGGGGTCCTGATCTGAAGTAAATCAGAGACAACAAGGAAGGGGGAGATTTCTTGAACCTCCAACATCTTCCAGGATCATGGAGCTCAAGTAAAATTCAACCCTGTCACAATCATGAACACGTTTAATCTCTGCGAGCCTCTGTTGCCTCCTCTGTGTAGTGACAGTGACTTCTCAGGACTCTTGTGCCGATGATACCAGACAAGGGATGTCAAGGGCCAACCACAGATCATGGCACATAGTGAGCACAAAGTGTTCATGTTTTTTAAAAAAAAAACTTTATTGGGGAACAGCAATGGTCAATGGTTACACATTGTTTTCATGCTACAGTGGCATAGTTGACTCTTTTAAGAAGGGCACAGTTCACAGTGGCCCATGTGGGAATCGAACCAGCAACCTTGGTGTTATCAGCGCCACGCTCTAACCAACTGAGCTAACTGGTCACCCCAATGTTCATGTTTTTTTTTTTTAACATGGCACTGATGTTAAAATAATTCTGCAACGCTGAGGCAGAAAAGGTCAGAGGTAACTAAGCGTCTAGGATGAGGCCCCCAATGAGTTGTATAATAGAGGTAGGAACCAATGTCAGGTCCTTCCTACCCACTGGGGTTGGACCAAAGCGTCAGCTGCAGAAATTACCATCCTTACCACGCCCACTGGCCAGTCAGGGGAGCTATCCCTGAGGTCCCTTCGTCCAGCCTCCCTGGCTGCAGAGAGCTCTGTGGCACCTGCAGACTTACTGAGAACAGAGAGCTCCCACCTCTTCCGTGATGCCCTCACTTCTCTAGGCAGCGAGAAGAGACAGGCTTGATCACCTCCATTATCCATGCGCTGTGCAATCCTCAGCCACAGGCGGTCTGAAATGAACACAGCATGGTGTTCGGAAAAATCGCAGCAGTTTCATCCGTCTTCCCAGACACAGAAACTGGCACTGCACTAACTCCCATTCTCGTACCTGGAGGCTGGGCACCTACTCCGAGTCCAGCTTTGCCTCAGGTGTCTGGTGGCTGGGCAGGGCAGAGGACAGATGCTTCTTCCCGTGAACCCAGCTAATGGCCAGCAGCCTCAGACACCCCCGTAAGCCCTTCCTTCAGCTCGTCCCCTGAGGCAGTGAGCTCGCCTTGGTATAAATCTAGTTCCCTCGCGGCAGCCAGCCGGAGCCGTGCCAGCCGACATCCCGTTACCAGCCTGCTCTTCACCCGCTCCTTGGTTTGACTACTTGGGGCTGCTTCCTCACTCCAGGCCCCATATTAAAGGGCTCTGGGAAGCAGAGCCAAGTTGCATTTTGATGGTTTCCTTCCTCCCACCTTGGTACTGCAGACACCATCTCTAAGGAATTCCTCTTTCCTGAGTGCCACACAAATGCATCCCCATCTGCCCGAGGACTTGCAGCACACATGCTCTGGGTGTGTGTCTTTTGGGGGCCGCAGGGCAGCCACTAGGTCAGAGACACATAAGCCTGAAGCTGAAGTCATAGGAAAATACGCTTTTTGAATGTTTCTTGGGTACATTTAGCCACGGAAAATGGGACCTCGAGTCAAAACAAAACAAAACAAAAGTTATATGATACAAAGATCCATTTTCTTATGGGTGGTCTCTGGACTTGACACAGGACCCCGGATCTGATTTTGGCATATCTTATCAGGGCTCTCTACTCCAGCTCTTGGCAAGGCAAACGCTGCCTGGGTCAGGCTGGAACTTAATCTCACCCCTTTTGTGGCATTTCAGTTACTGGGTATCTCTACAGAGCTTGGAAAACAAAAGCATACAAGCTACATTTGTCCTGCAGATAAATGTATTTGGCCCACCTACTGTGGCAAGCACATCTTAATTTTGTCAATGTTTTTTAAACCTGGAGATTCCACCTCAAAATTAAGAATTTTGGATTTCCTTGGGGGAGATGGAGAGAGGACAGAAGATCTGATAACACCAAGCCCATATTTCTACCTGGCAACATTGACTGGAGCTAAGTTGGAGCTGGTCCCTTTAAACAGGGTGTATATTCCCCATCTCAATACCTCCCGACACTCATTTGTTTATGGATCCAAGATACTGAGTGCCTACAATAG